AGCGAGCCTTGTGGAAATCGCTATAACTTCCTTATCGCGCCATATTGAGGGATGAAAGTGGTATCATCTTCGTCAAGGCGTAGAGGGTTCCAAAAAGCACGAAGTCATTTTGAGGACCACTTGATCGCGGGGAGTGTCTTTAAACCTATACAGATATATTACATGTCCTAGTGGTAGTCAGAAGGGCCGCTTTCAAGTAGCAGAAACGCCAACAATGCGAGCGAGGTAGTGTAGTGGCAAGTGGCGCGCGTCCAGGGTTTCAATCACGGCTCCTGCTCCGGCTAACCAAGCCTTCTACCCTCCGGAAACAGTAAGATGGTACAGGATTAGTCCGGCAGTATAAAAAGCAGATACATCGGAAAGTTATTATATGGGGCATATGCACTCAATACCACTACGATTTCCTGTGGAAGAAAAATGCGTGCTGCTCCTCCAAAAACGGAGAAAGGCAAAAGTTCCACATTTTTTTCTTTTCGGGAAAGTTACCATGAAAAATACGAAAATTCAAGGGTTTTGTGTACAGTTATTGAATTCGCACCTTCTATTGAATATAGATGATTTTTAGGTGAATTGGAGTAATAAAACAAGTGCAAACTCTCCAGTAATGTGGACTTTAATGTTTCAGATAACTATGATTCAGAATCTTATGGTTAGCTGCATTTTTTCGCGTCTTGCTACTTTTATTTTCAGATAAACATGTGTGGTAACACCAGATCACCCTGTGAAGCGTTCCTGTTGTGCCCAACAGAACGGTAGCCGATCCGGGTTCGCCTACCCTTTAATAAAAGGAAATCACCAAGGGTAAGTTGAGCCGAAATTTTGTCTCAGGCAGTGGTTTGGCCTTGCAAGAATGCTCTTATATCTAGGCAAGCCTCTTTGAGTCAGGGAACTGGCCCCTCTCCTAGCGTTACTATCAATAAGTCACCATTTTAGATAAATTTTCGTTAAGGGAAGTTCTTTTACAATCGATTGGGAATATTGTAGAACAGTTGATTGTCTGGTTTAACAATGAATCATTTTTCAGATGTCGGATCAGACGTTGTTGTGTAGTTGCCAAGGATTATTTGATTGATCAGTTGAAGATGTTTACCGGAAGCTCACAACTCTTTCATCAATCTCCATCGATAATCTGAGATTTATAGCGATAGTGGCAGCCACGGGCTGCGAAAGAATTGCAATGGAATCGTGTCGTTCACACCTAATTCTTAGATATTCTGTCGGGCGTTCAATGGATCTCTTGAAGTGGTGGGCGCTGTTTGTTCGACGGGGGGGGCGCCAGTTCTGTATTATCAGTCCGTTTCACTATTTCAGGTTTACAATTCCACTCTGCGCTACAAACTGGAACTCTTATGAGACTGAACAAATGATCCGTCCTAGTACCAACTATCGCTAAAACCGTCGTCAATGCACTCAGCAGAAAGCGCGCTGCGTACGAGTGGTCGATACATCTATGGAAAGCAAACAATGCCCCCCCCCCCCCCCTCCCGTCGACAAACTGCGCCAATGGTGTTCTATGAACTATTGCGTACCTCAAAAGCAGTGGGCCTTGATCACTTACAACTGCGGCCTACGATCACTTACAATTATCTCTTCTCGTAGAGAATGCAACGGAAACCCTATGTAGTTCATGCCAGAAAGTGGTAAGTTAGCGGCGCGTAATGCACCAAGTGAATCCGCCTTCCTTGACTCTTTTTTCTTTTTTTGTTGCGAGATTCTTGAAATAAGGATTTATTAAAGATTCTGAGCATTGAGAGAATTCTGTACAACGCTGATCGATGAGGTTGAAGTGAAATGTGCTGCAGCTGGGTGATGACGATCATCGTGTCGCGTACGATTTCCATCTATCCAGCGCAATGAACTTCCCGTCGTTGTCTCGTCACTTTTTCTCCGCACGACGATACCGTTTTATTATTTTCTTCACATTTTGCAGGTAGAACTGCTTCGTGTGAGGATGGACGGGAATATCGAAGATGATCGGATTATTCTGAAACAAATTCGCTTGAAGTAAACCTTTGCGTACAATTGTATAGAACTGGTACACAGACAGTCATCACCCCTGCAAGTGAGAGGGCGTGTGAAGAGGATTGCACTGAAGCGCAGTCGGGCAGCCTTCCCGACCTATTGGCGGGCTCTGAATGGCATCTTATCTCACACTGGCTGCGCTCCAGTCCATGCCCCTACACATGCCCCCTCCTTTACGGGGATAATGCCTAGCCAAACCTTCATGTCACAACAGTTATGTGGGACGGGAAAGGAGACCACTTGTCTTTGCTGAAGCCCCTTTCTGCGAAAAGAAAAATGCCACATCGTTGACTGGTGAAACAAGAGTACCAGCCTACACAGGACAGCCGTCGTGCATGTGTGAAATTGGTGGCCCCTTCAGACGACCCCGCCCCTTTCCCCAACACTTATCTACCAATTCCCACATTTTTCCAGTCCAAGCTTGAGAGTTGCACACGAAAGTTTTCCTCGAACGGGGGCAGGGTCTACAAAGACCCTCCTTCAGGTGGGGGGGGCGGCGTACTTCGACCCTCCATCTAGAGGGGGCAAGCAACAACCACGAAAAAATTTTTTCCCAAAGTGGCAAAATTCTTCTCAACCCAACATTACGACACACCCTCTCCCAACCGACGGAATCTACTGACCCCCCCTAACTCATGGGAAGCAAAACCGACGACCCCCTATGGGTTTCACGCAACCGATGCCCGTTTCCGTTTCAGGTCCGACATATTCGTTTACATGCTCTCTCGTTTCTCCAGTTCGCCTCTCGCTTAGAATCCCCATCAAATCTTTGGTTTCTCGCTTCAACGGACAAATGAGGGCTCTATTTGGCGCGTTTTTGACGGTTACCGCTTTAAGTTTCTTCACAGACGAGTCAAGTAGCCCAAATATTTCTGTTTTTCAACCCGAAAATGACGAATTTTGCAAAGATTTCTAGCAGGAATCGCCTCAAAACATACCGTTGCTTGCAGGTTCTCGTCGCATATACAACAGTTGATGAATTTCGTGTAACCATCTGACGTGCAACCATAACCTGGATATTTCCAATTTCAGTTGTAGTTTTATTAGTTTTATTAGACATCTGGCAAAGCGAACCTTCATGGATATGTGAAAAGACGTGATATTTTGGTTTAATTCGTTTAGAAACCGAATTTAACAACTCAACACAGCCCATTCGTTGACCGTCCGACATCATATCACCGTGACCTAAATTGTGGAGTTTATCGCGAAATCTCCGCTTGAAAAGATTGCATAGCGTAACGGTCAACGAAAAGTAAACTGAGGGCGCTTTTGTTTGTTTTTCTGTTTTGCTAGGTTGATAAGTGGATCATCTACCGGAGTAGCCTAAGGTTTTGATTGAATCACCTTTTCTGAAGGCGCGAGAGTCTATCTAGTGGGCAAAAACCCCATTAGCCCAGACGCTCGAATGCGTGGCGCACCCTACGGAATTGATCACTGGGCGCTAAAGTCTAAAAAAGTCTTCGCCGTTGATCAATCCCTTTGTGGGATGCGGCACGCATTCTACTTCCATTCAGAATCGTAGTGGCTTATTGAATGCGATGTGGCAATGACTTGCGGTGGCCAGCCGATGTACAAGTCAGTGTTTTATCCTCCCAGACGAATCTGGTACCAATTTACCGTCCCCGGAGGATAGAAGGGTCGCTGGCGGGAGTCCGACCCGCGGAATGCGAACCCGACCGCGCGAGTGGTAAGCGCGCCACTTGTCACTACCACCTCCTATCACCCGCGTCACTGGGCGCTACCAGTTTTTTTTTATAATCCTACTCTTTTTCAATCCTCGCAACCAAATGTATAAGGATGTTATAAGAAGATGTTTATCCAATCAGTCAAAATATGAAAATAGTTGACCCACCTAGAGGAGGCGTATGCGTGAGAAGGACGTCAACTCCTGCGGGAATGTTGTTCCATTTGTCAAGTAGAGGCTGCCCTCTCGTCAAGTTGAAGGCCCAGTTGTCAACACGCGGTTGCCTGCAAATTGTCGGCCTTTTCAGAGGTCGATCTTTCTTTAACTTGCGATCACTCCCATTAAACATTCTACTTCGGCCCAATTGAGAGGCCATTGAGTAAGGAAGCATAGAAATGAGCGCTCTAAAAAAGAACAAGAAGACAATGAAGATCTATAAAGATGTGCTCTCCAATAGTCAGAAATCGGAAATCCGCCAGGAATCGTTTCGGAAAGGCTCATCACACTTGAGTTCAGCGCCAGGTAAAAACATAGATCCCACTATAGTCACTACAAGGGAAATAAGAGTTAGTGACATATTTCCTTATTCAACTTCCCCGCAGGTTATGAAGAAATTCTACTGATTACCAGTTCACAATCAAAGGCGCGCGTCCGTGATCAGGAATCGAAGCTAGATATGGCGTCAGGAAGTCAGAGTGGCCAGCGAGAGAAACCCCGTTCCGGTTTCGTAGCAAAAATTTCTAAAGGAGGGCTCTTATAGAGATAAAGGGCGCAGTGTTCCTCCTCCTTTCCATGACTGATCCGCCTCAGACACTGCCTCCAATGCTCGGCTTGCAGTGAAAAACGAGATTGCGGAACAAAAAGCGTTGGTATAGGTCACTTCTACGATCGTAGAGTTCTAATCGGTGAAACAGCTGTGCCTATGAGGGCTCAGTGTGGGAGATAGAGTTAATTGTGGGCAGCGTAAAAATGGATAAAAAGTGGTTCTATGCTAGGGCACGATGGCATGTTCTTTTGTGTTTTTTTTTGCTTCAAAACTGTTGAGCTATTTTTTTCTCAACCCTTGGTCTTCTATTGGAACCCCCTAATCCACTGCCTGGGATGTGGACGAATAATCGCGGTTTTCTGTTTTTAACATGGAAATGTTGAGTCGAAGCACAGCTATTTCGTTGATGATGAGGGCAGCGATATGGGCGGAGACAGCCAACCATTTCTCCTCTTTGAGGTACTCCCGCTTGCAAAACGGTAAAGAGGTTGGGAAGCGGTGGCGCTGAAAAAAGTGCAGGTGGTTGGTTGTAATCGTCCATAGTCCATACGACCAGGGTGGGACTGTAGGTTTAGTCCCCTTTCAGCATCTGTTCATTAGAGCGTTTCCCTCATTGAAGAGACTGCGGTACATTTTGGGTGACAATCTGCTCTAAAGCCGTAACAAGTGGATGCTTGGTGTTCTAAAGAGACCATGGAGGTTGAAGAGGTGTTTTTCTGACGGCCTGCCGTCCATATTGAAGGCCAAAATGAGAGTTTCCAAGAGGACCGGCGAGGGAGTGTGGGAGTTCGAAGCGAGATGTAACAGAGGGGGGGGGGGGAAGGACATTTTTTCTTCCTTAGTTTCGAGGCGCTATAAGTCATGAGCAAGTTCTGACCGGGCATTTCCTACAACATCATGAACAGCATATTGAATAACTATATGATACTGGCGCCACAGCTTCTAGACGACGGCCATTTGAGAGATTTGCCACCCAAGAACACGTGCGAGATTCAGCGATCGTTGACTTCTTCGCCACCTGTAGACACCTGCTGAACTCCTCCCAACCGGGTCAACGGAGGGGGTTGAGTCAGACGACAACACTATAGATAAGATCATTTATCGCAGGTCTCAAGCACCCTTCACCTTTCCAAGTTAGGCGAGGGTTTTGTTCAAAACGCCTTCGATTCCATGTGGTGGCACCCAATCCTGTAGCAGTACAAAGTTTCCAAGAAGGTACGGGCGACGACATGTGGGAGGATATTCTTCTCGAGTTGCTCGATGTAACCGCCAGCGCTCACCTTCAGTCCGGGGTCCACGAAGAAAATATCGGTCTTTCCATTCCAGGTACGTCCGGTCCATACCATCAACCCGCGCCTTGGCGACTGCGGTGAAGATGATATCCTGGACCGTAGCGACGTTGTCGGAGCTGCTCGATGTTGGAGGTCTTCCAGATCAAGAGTGCTGGTCTCCAGGTAGCTGTGGGTGACTCCATACAAGAAGTTTCGCAGCTGTTTGGAGGTGACGTGAATTCCAAAGGTCTTCTCCAGTCAGGCTGCGACTGGAGATGACTTCATATTTTGGTGTACATGAAGGTGATGGGCGAGAGCCAGCTCCTGCTTATCGAGGAACATCTTGGGTATCTTCCGCCCTGGTACTCGTATCCACGTCCTCTGTCTGGGCTGCGAAAACTTTGCTGATATGTGACTCGGTCGAAGTGTCTTTTTTTGGCCCTTGTATATAAAAGAGCAGAGTCGGCCAGAAGTGTGCACTCATCGTAGGGCTGCTTGAAAACGTTCCTTTTTGCCTACCGATATGAACTGTATAATTATTGGGCTGAAAGTAAACTGTAGATCAGAGTTTCAACTGATCACGAAAGCACTGGAAATCTGCTTTCGATTGTTGGGAGGCCAAATGTCCGACCAACAATCGAAGGACCGATGCTCTTAGGTTCCCATTACACATAATTGATAGAGGATATCCGTTCCACACCCTGCCGATGATCGAAAATCAGTCACGGCCCCTTCTACGACCGACCGACCGACCAAACTTCCCGAAAATTTGCCGTTGAGGGAAATGGGGGCGGGAAGCGGGGGAGTGGGGGGAGGTGGTAGACACCCCTACCAGAAAGAGCAGTTTTGCGGCGCCGCTTATCAGGGATGGAAACGAAAAATAATCCACAATTAGAATTTTTTTTGGTTTAAACGCGATCCTCTCCCCGCCAGCGA